TTTTTAGCAACATTAGCTCTAATAACTTTGTTCTATTGATATTTTTAGTCTCTACATAAGGATTAATGATGTTAATAGAGCAAAATTAAAGATTTAGTTAAGAACAAAAAACACATAGGTACCAAATTGAAAATTGAGAGAAAGTATAGGTACTTCCAATATGGTTTTCCCTTTATTATATAAACTTTAGAAATAACAATCTACATAATAATAAATGAAGGACAAAGTTATACATTTATGTTAAAATTTTAACAATATAACTTATAAATAAAAGAAATAAAAATCTCCCTGACTTAAAAATAACAATAGCTGCCTGCTGTTTTATGTTTTGAAATAATTACTATTCGAAAAACAAGCCCAAGAGCCCCTTACCTTACGTGACCAAAATTCGAAGAAATTCCCAGAGGAACAGACAAATTAAACAATTTCTTGCAAATGAGTAATGAAATAAAAATACCATGAAAAATTGTTTCAGTCTTTAGATTTGAAAAAGTGGCGTAAATAATGCACAGTTTATTTCAGGCACCTTTTCCAGTTTACTCTTGTAATTTGTATGCAAAAGACACAAACGTCCATTCCAACGCAACTTAACGTATCATGCCATGATAATAAAAACACTACTTCAAAATTATATTTTTTAATTAAATTAATTTTAATTTTAAAAATTTTTGAAATATCATTGAATTATGCTTTTAAAATCAATAAAACTTAGATTTTTTTAATAAAAATAATGATGTCAAATTCATATATATAATCGAACTATTGTATTGATCTAATTAACTAAATATCTTTTCATTTCATGAATTATATTTATGGAAATAACATATAGATTACTCAACTCTTCACTTGATAGTGTGCCAAAAAAATTGTTAAACTATTATACTTAATTTAATCATAACTCTTTTCTTTTGATATGAGCCATACTATGAATTTTATTGCCGAATAATTAACACATTGTTTTTTAATTTACTAATATTTTTGCCAACATTATTACTCCTCCAGTCCTAAATATGAGACTTATTTTATAGTATAAATTACACTATAAATTGAGTCTTATATTTAGGACTGGAGGAAGTATTATTTACCAACGTACTGCTGCAATCCTTAATATAATAGTCAATTTAATATTTAATTTGGTCCTAAATATAAAACTTCAATTCAATTTGTCTTCAATATTTATCAATTTCTTCATGAGCAATAACTAAAGTGATTGCACATATTAAGAGATTTTTATCAAAAAGTAACTCCAATACACATTATTAATAAAGACATTTTAGAAAAGACAATACTTATTTATTATGACTAATTTTTTTGCCAACTATTTATTATAATTAATTAAGTTAACTATTTTCTTAATTTTTATATAAATTAACTATCTAGCTCTTATATGTATTAGAAAAAAATGGGCAAGAAAGGGGAAAAAATAAAATAAAAGAAAACGGTTTAACACACATTTCTCTTTTTAATTTGATGAGCATTATGTGGAGAAAAAACTACACACAATTTCTTGTACATTAAACAAATATACTACCTACTGTGCTTAAAATAAAAGTTAAATAATTAATTTATAAATATTAAAAATATTTGTTAACTTAGTTATTTATAATAAATGCATGGTGGTTTTTCTAAACTACTCTCTTTAATTATGTATATTGGTACCATTATTGAAAATATCATTAATATATGCAATCAATAGGTTTTTTGGGAAACAATTATAAATTTGAAAGGCAAAATAAATTGAGATTTTATGCTTAAGACTAAAGTAAATCTCTTATCTAGTTCTAATATTTGCAAGATTTCAAGACAAGAAGTTTAACTTTTGTAGTCTTATGTATAGTACGGATTTAAATTATGAGTTAAGTAAGTATTTGTCAAACACAAAATTATCTGAGACGTTGATCAAATGTTGAGTTTCGCTACTTCGGTAAAATGAAAGAGAACATTTATCTGAAATCTAAATTATTATTCACATTTGCATTCAAATGTGTAAAACTTGCTTAAAATGACAGACTTTACATACTTTGTACTCCCTCCGTTTCTTATTATAAGAGACAAATAACCGAAATACGTTGATAAAAAAAACAGTTAAAATTAGTTAAAAACAATTAATGTGTAAAAAGTATAACTTTTTTCCAAAAATGCCCTCATTAATAAGGAGAGAGAGCATGAGAGAGAACAATTAAATTATTAAAAGAAAGAGAAGTGAGAGGAAGAGATAGTGTGAGTTGGAGATAATAAATATGGGTAAAATAGTAAATCAATACAAAAAAGCAGAGACAACTTGTAAGTGTCTCTTATATATAGGAACATACTATAAGCATCAAATGTCTTTTATAATAAGGAACGGAGGGAGTATCATTTTAGCAATCTCCCTTCAAAATTAAAAATGAACATGTTCCAAATCCTTTTCTCATTCTTCTTCTTCCTCCTCCTTCTCCCCTGTTCCTCTCTGTCACCACTGAGCCGAAATGAGTTCACCACTTTCACTTTCATGTCTTCTCATTCTCTTCATTACTTCTCCCTCCATGAGCACACCCACTTCTTCTTCAAAATCGTCTCTCGACCCGAACCAGACGAAAGCACTTGAATCCCTCAACATCCCCACCTCAACTGATCCATGTTCTGAACCTTCCTTCCACAATGTAACTTTCTGTGACTCTGCGACACCCTTTCGTCATCTTCTTTCTCTTTCGCTCTCTAATTGTTCCTCTTATCTCACTCTCACCTTCACTGCGTTGAAGTCTCTCTCAACTCTTCAATCTCTTCACTTCCAAAACTGTCCTATCGCTCCCATCGCCTTCCCTTCCGAGCTCATTGCTTCTCTCAGATCCTTCGTCTGCATTAACAGTCTCCGTAAGCTTACTGGCGTCTGGCTCTCACGCCTTGAGAATCTCACAGACCTCACTGTGTCCAATGTGCCTGTTAATGCTTCTGGTCTTCTTGTGATAATTGGACGTATGAAGAAACTCAAGTACATCGCCATTTCTTACGCCAATCTCACTGGTTTTCTTCCCAACTTTATAGATTCTAACGTCACCCACATCGATTTCTCTGGTAATCAGCTGAAAGGAAGTATACCCACTTCATATACGAGGTTGGACAGTTTGGAATTCATGAGTCTATCGTATAACTCGCTGGATGGTGAAATACCCACTTCCATTGGGGACTTAATATCCCTCAAAAACCTCTCTTTGGCTTCGAATTCGATTTCCGGACCCATACCCGATTCGGTTTCTGCCATTCCTGGCTTGGTTCACATGGATCTGAGCTCAAACAAACTAAATGGTTCGATTCCCAGGTTCCTCTCGCAGATGAAGAATCTCAAGCATTTGAATCTGGCGAACAATGATCTTCATGGGGTTTTGCCTTTCAATTTGAGTTTCATAGAGAGATTGGAAGTGTTCAGAGTAAGTGGGAACATTAATTTGTGCTATAATCGTTCGATTCTGTCATCAAAACTGAAACTTGGTATTGCTCCCTGTAATAAGCATGGAATGCCCATTTTGCCTCCACGAGGGAAGGATCTTTCTTGGGATGATCCAAGTGATTCAGATTATGATGACTATGAAGAGGATGATGCTAAGGAACGTCGTCATTGGCCTAAAAAGGTTGTTCTTGGTGTGTCAGTAGCGCTTTCTTCTATTGGGATTCTGGGTATTTTCTTATTCCTCTGTTTGAAACGTTGTCATTGAAGAAAAAGAGATTAGCTTAGGAATATTGACAAATTTAGTTGGGTTTGTAATTATTTATTGTAAGATGCAGAACCTCAATTACATTGAAGAACGTGACTTCGTAGGTGTGAAAGAGGGGAGCAGAACCGGGGGGGGGGGGGGACAACGACGGCCATGAGAGAGAAAAATATTATAAATTGTTGTATTTTTTTCTCCGGTTATATGAATAGCAAAAGGAGAGAGAAAATGGTCAACAAATGTTGATTAATGATTTGGCGCTTGATATTCTTTTTCCCATAACCCTTGCAGACCACCTAAAATACCCTTATATAACATTAAATTATATATCAATCCATAAGTTAAGTAAATTAGATTTAAAAAATGATAAATATGAAAGAAAAAATAAATTAAGGTCTTATATGTAAAACCAAATCTGAATATCTAATTAGTTCTTATATTAAAAATTGAAAGTAATATTTAGTGTACAATAATTATACAACAGATGTATAATATTCTTTTCCCATAACCCCTTGCAATCCGTACGTAACTGCTATCTCCATATGCATGCAACATGACATTATCTTTCTTTCTCAGATGTTAGAATCTTATGCAACCGCATTCTATTTATAGCCTCAAACAAAACAAAAGAAAACACTGTTATTTCACCTGCCCTCTATTTCCCACAGCTCAACAAAATTTCTTCCATCTGTATTCACTTTGGTTTAATTAATCAAGTGAAGAGGGAAATGTAGAGGGCACCAAAGAAAGACATGGGTGAACCTCACTTTCTTCTCTTTCTCACCCATTTTAATTGAATTTTACTTTTAGAGAAGATTTATCTACTACTTGAAAGTCAAACAGAAAATGGCAGTGATCCTGTTTAAAAAAAAAAAAAAAACCCAAGTAAATACATGTAAGAATCCAAAAGGTAACAAACTATTGGTAAATACGAAATAATTTCTTTATAACAAAACTCAAGAGCTAAACTTGGTTAATATCATACCAAAATTCTAAAACCAAAACCACAAGCTTCATGTATAGTGCTCCAGGCTACAACTTCTTGGGACTTGTTAAGAATTACACCTGCACACTTGAAACCACTTCATTGCCTCTTCTTTAGTCACCCCATGTTGAATTCCAATTCGGGACTTGCATTTTTGGGGTCGACCAACACGAAAACCGGGGCATTATAACAAAGAAATCCATCCCATAGATCTCAGCTGAAGGATTATACCCTAAGGTAGAACAACATTAGCCAGTTAGTCAAATTTACATACATGAATGCTGCTAATAAAAATTGTCAATCAAACAATAATAAATGGATCATGTTTATTGGTGGTCCCTGCCAGAAAAAATGGATCACAAAATGAAAAACAGTCACAAGTTAACATGAAGAAATAAAATCTATTAAGAACAAGCATCGTTTGATGGACACAGAGTAGTTCCTGTCGCAAGGCCCACACAAATTGTTATGGTTTTGACCAAAATGCATCATTATTAAGAGGAGTTTGATTGAACCGATATCAAAGACTTGAAGAAGTTCAGGCATAACGGAATAGACTCCAATACAAGTATCAAGACAGGGTTCTTTAAACATTGTTTCTACCAACTTCAACCATGACTGATAATACCATAAGAGCCTTTCGTCCTTAATAACAAAGCTCTGACCACTTAACTGAGTCATAAAATTCTGGAAGAATATCTGGACCAGAAATCACAATCAGAAAGACAGAAGCAAAAATCAATTTTCCAGTAATGTAACAGTGTGGTGATGCACAGGACATTAAAATTTCTCCACCATTTTGCCTGATGGAAGATAGACAATTAAAGTGAAGTTAATTAGTTTCATAATCATAACATGGGATATATTTTTCATAATTCTTTATTTGGTAACCATGATACTTATAACATACTTGATTCCAAGATCAATATGCCCCTGAATACCAAATCCAAAACATCTAACAGCACTGAATACCAGGGCTTGTCCACTTAATTGTTCCAACATTTAAGCATGCCACTAAAAAAAAAAGTGCTTACAGGGTAAATGAGGTGATTTTGTTTTGATCCCAGCAAAAAAGTTGCCTTCCTCATTTGGTCGTTAACAAACAAGACAATTCTCAATTTTCGTCACTTATAAATTTGCCTCCTTCAGTAGGTTTTTAAGAGATAGATACTTCTCAAGGTAAGTGGCTCCCAAATAAAACTGTTATAAATAATGGTGTCTCACATATGAGTATATCTGAATTTGATAGAAAGATATGGATATTCGATAATGAACAGGTGAATAGATTTATTTCAAGAACCAAATTGAGAAATACGTCATCTATGAGGTAAGGACTGAATTGCAAAATAAATAAGGGGAGGGATTAACGTCTATAGTGCATCCATTTTGCGAGCTTATCTTTAGGAACAGACAGCAAAATGAACTCGACAAAATATTAAACGTTTAAGAAAGGTCTAATTTTTTCATCGTCTCTTTTAATCAGGAATTCCAGATAACACAGTAAAGCATCATATGTAGTACAAATGCTTCGCAGAAACATTCTGATCTCTCGAAATCCAATATTCTTCTAAAACCTAGCAGAAATTAGAAAATGGGTACAGAGCCAACCTTAGCATTTCTAGTAACCCCGAGCTTCTGGACTTTGATTTTCCTCATTGGGTTGGAAGACTTCTTTTCCGAAGCCTACATAAGCATTCGTATTAAACAAAATCACAACTTGCCAATGGATAAAAGGAAAATCGATTTATCAGTGAGAAACCGCGATCAAGCGATAACAGAGAAGTATACCAGACGCCAGTGTACCACAGCGAATCTTGCAAAAAGACAATACCCCTGCTTTTTATTTAACTTAAAAATTTAAAAATTCCATTGCCGGGAATCGAACAGTGGTCTATCACGTGAGAAACGAATATCCTAACCAACTAGACGACAAAATTGTACATCGTCGCGTTAACTAAGCAATCTTAAATTTAGCAAACCCATTACAATTTGTCACATATTTTCATCAAAACCAATGTACTACTTCCAGTTCTAATTATAAGAGCTAGTTAACTAATTTGATAAAAAAAAAAATAAGTTAAATTATTTATTTATAATAAATATATGTTATTTTTCAAAAAAATATACTTGCTAATCAAGCATGGACTTTCTTGAAATAAAAAAATAAATATGAGTAACAAAGTGGATTAGGGTCTTATATTTAGGACCAAAATAAAAATCAAATGAAATCTTATATTAAGGATCGGAAGTACTATATCACTATATCTTATGTGTTATACAGATTTTAAACAATAAATTGCATTGCTTATGATATATGAGAATTGTTGATTTTTAAATTTTTCTTTATACATGATAACAATATATATATAATTTCATTTAATTTTTAATTAGGTTCTAACACAGCTCCTTGAGTTAGTCTATCCAAGAGACAAACTCCACTTTCAATCCGTGGGGGAGGTCCGTGGCCACTTAATAATTATATTATGAGTGTTTTAGTTTATGTCGAATTGAAGCCTTGAAATACAAAAGGAGGCTGGCGTCATCATCTTCTTCATCTTCCTTCTCCCAAAATTTTCCACAAAAAGGCCAACAAATTTCGAGAAACCAAATATAACACAGTCATCTTCATCGCAGAAGCATAGAAACCAAACGCCATGACTTTATAATCTCAAAATAAAGGGAAGTTTAGGGCCATTTATTTTTATATTTTGTTTTTTCTCAAAATAATTTTATAAATTTTTTTAAAACAATTTTTGGAAACAACACACACAAAAAATCTGTTTGGATAATTATTCTAAAAATTACATTTGAAAATGAACATATTAAGACTAGATGGTGAAATTTTGATGAGAAAACAAGTCTTCAAATAGGGGGGAAAAAGCCATCCAACTGAGAAGAAAGGGTTTCTCAATTTTTCTAAACAGAAATAAACAATGTAAAAATAAAAACAAGAAACAACTAAAAAAATTTTTAGTTCTTTTTAAAACCAGATTTTCCTTCTTTTTTTTTAAAACACTTAATTAAAAATAAATTACCAAATAACTTTTTTTAATTTTTTTGTTTTAAAAACAAAAACTGCTTTCAAAAAATAAGAAAAAAGGCGTTAATTTTGCTGTTTGGATCTTCAAACTTCCTTCCATCGCATGACGACGCCAAATTCCAGTGAGGTTCACTTGGCACTCAAATCAGGTATAGGCAAAGAGAGCTTCAAGCAATATATAAATCTAGGAGAGATGCGAAACTAGATTCAGAGTGAAGAAGTGAATCTGGGAGGACGAGGGGGCGAGACCTTAGAATAGTGACGGTTTGCTGAGGACGCTGATTAATGACGATGGTTTGGATATCAGGAGCGGCGGCGGACAAGGTGGCGAGAGCTTACAATGGAGCCGCGGACAAACGGGCAAGAGCTTACAATAATTATAAAATGAAAAAACTAATCTCGCTGTCCTTATAATTTTACCTGATTTTGAATTAGGTCCTTCTAATTTTCTCTTTTTTATAAAATCTTTATAATTTATTACATTAAAGGAGCAAGTCCTTCTGTTAAAAATATTCCCAACGCTGTTAATGCTGCATGACATGGCATTGAAAAGGCCTGCTTTCTTTTTCTTTCTAACGCCGGTGATGAGCTTTCTCTCTCTTTCTCTTTCTTCCCTAAAAGCTTGTGGCTCTCTCTTTAATCAATCAAGGGCCAACCACACCAGTTGATCAAGACGAAAAGCTCCTTCGAAAACTGTATTCACACGCACTGCTTCTGTGTTGCTGGGGATTCAGGATGAAGTCGCACGAATATTGGGATTCGGCATTCTGGAATGATAATGGCAATCAGAGCTTCCAGTCGCGTTCCTTGCTTCTTTTTCAGCAGTGGCAACAGAGTTTGCACCATTCTTTGTTGCTTCCGCTAGAAACGCTTGATAACATTTGAAATCAGATCATTGAAGAAGTTGAAACCATTTCCATATTTTATATGCTGCTGCTCGGCTTCATGTCTATGTGGTTAAAATGCCTTTAATATCATTGTACTGTATGAATTTGTTTACATATATATATCCGCTTGCCATTGTTTCAAGGGCCTTATTTTGTCGCTAAGCCTGAATCTGAATTAAATACCCCAATGGCAATATGACAGGCTCGTGATTATCAAAAGCTTTTAAGAAACGGTGTATTGTACTCCTCCGGTACTTAATATACGACCTAATTCTTGAGTTGATTTTAGTTCTAAATATAAGACTCATTTATCATATTTATCAATTTTCTCTAAATTACTCTTATAGATATTCTTTCAACCATAATCAAGTAGAAGAAAGAGATGAGGTATTAAGAAAAATGATTATGGTGCTTTAGAAAAAATGTGTTACTTTTCTTATAATTAACTAACTTACCTAACTTCCTTAATCTAATCAAATTAGTTAAATGGGTCTTATATTAAGGACCAGAGGAGTATATGTTAAGCGAATTTTTTTAAATAATAAATTAAGGTAGTTTTTGTTAAGATTTTAAAAAAGAATACGCAGCTGTATATAACGAAATTTGTCATAGAGTAGATTTCCATTTGCAAGTTACCATGTTTGGGCTCAATTTTACCTTCCTCTTCTCCTCCCTGCCGTAGTACTCCATCTTCACCTCTTTTGGCACCTTGTGGAACTCACGCGCCGCCGCCAGCATCTCCTCCAGCAGCTTTGTGGTTATCCTATGATTCACCACCTGAAAAAACCCCACTGTCTCGGCAGCACACCAGACTTTGCTGACCACATCATCATCAACACGATCCCCTCCATTGGCGACCATGTCTTTGAGATCTATCACCGAAAACTTGAACTGGGTCTGACCTCTTTCACTCCGGAGACCTTCGTCGTCGGCGATCTCCTCCGGTGGCCGTATGAAAATTCGAGGAAATTTCGTGATTCCTGATTCAACCAGGCCTTTAACACCGGATTTAGATTTGTCGAAGGCCTTCATTTCTTGCAAACGATCGTAGGCGTTGGAGCTATCCATATTGCAAACAATCGTCGGTTGATTGATGATTACAAGAGTTCAATATCGTTCTGTCATTTTATAATTTTAGTTAGTTTTATGTGGCTGGCCCTTTATTGATTAGAAAGAGAGCCACAAGCTTTTAGCCTTTTATTAGGAAGAAGAGAAAGCAAGTCCACGCAGCATTTTCAATGCCATGCCGCATAGCATTAACGGCGTTGGGAGTATTTTGAACGGAAGGACTTGCTTATTTAATACTCTTTTGGTCTTATTTATAAAACACTTCCAGCATATTTTACATAGACCAAGAAAAACTTTAAACTTCATTAACTCTCATTTAAAATTTAATGATTTTTCAACTTTATTCCTATTTAATATATATTATACTTCATATAAACAAAGTCAACACAATAATAAATAAGGGGTAAAATTGTACATCCATACAGAAAATTTCTCTTAGTGCTCTATAAATAGGACCAAAAAATTCCTTTTCTCTCTACCCTATAAATAGGACCAGAGGAGTATAATTTATTATAAGGATTTCATTTTTAAAAAAAAAACTAGAGGGACCTGACTCAAAATGAGATAAAACTATAAGGACTGTCATATTAGTTTTTCCTTATAAAAATGTCTTATTATTTATTTTTTAAATATTATTAATTATTATTAAAAGAAATTATTGAATTTATCATCACAACCATGGCATTGATGATGGCATAGCTGTTATGCATTGTTTGGTTGGAAGGTATTTGGAGGAAGGGCATGGGAGAAGAGTTGTGTTTGGTTGAGCAAAATGGAGGGGAGGGGAGGAAAATTTTTTTATCTTTTGATGCTTACCTTTCCTCCTTCTACTCTCCTCCAAATTTGGGGTTTTTTGGAATAGAGAGAAATATTATATCTCATCCTTACTAAATTACCCATGTTAGTTTTTGACTATTCTAAGTTTATTTTGACCATTCTAAGTTTATCCTTTTCAGTAAAAAATTTTTTTACTCTTTACCTTTTTTTTTTATACTTTTTTCCTTTTCATCCTCTACTATTTTTCTATGGATTTTTTTTACTCCTTAGATGTTCTTTTTTTTTTCCTGCATATTTTCTTCCTCTGATTTCATTATTTTCCACGCTCTTTGCCATTAATCTTCCCCATCTTTTCATCTTGCCTGATCCCCCACCTCATTCATCTTATCAGTATTTTGTATTCATTTATTCTGCATAAAGTTATTCTTTACTGGTTTATATGAGTTGAAGTAGTTGAGATCTATTAAAATGATATTATCAATAACCAAATTCATTGATATACATGCCATATATACCTATTTTAATTCAATTTTATTTTTTTACACAAAACTCTGTGTATTATCTAATTAAGCATGTGAAGTTGCACACATTATGTAATTAAAGATGGAATAATTCAAAACTTGTGGCATAAATTTATTTATAATTTATATAATATGCTAAAGATTATAATATATTTTTTTGATTGACATTTATTTTGACATATGATTATTTATAATCTATTTGTTATGTCTCAAGATATCTGATTTTTTTTATATTCACAAATTACAAAATAATGATTATAATACAAATATCATAAGAGATAAAGACATATTTTTCAACTTATAATTAGCTCCTCTCCTTTTTCCTCTTAAATTAAACAAGAAATCTCCCTTTCACTCTCTTTTCCTCTAACCAAACAAAACTCATAACTTTCCCTCTCCTCCCCTCCCTTGCCTAACTCACCTCAACTCCCCTTCCCTCCATTGAACCAAACAAAGCCTTACTGTCTGCTGCCGCCTATCCACTCCGCTCAATCGCTTTTTGCCTTGCTGTTGTTCTATCTTCATCTCTTATCTGGGATCTTTGTTGGGTCTCACCGGCGATCTTCTTCAGTACCCTATGAGTCTCGTGCTCGCTTTACTTTCTTCTTCTCTTGCCTTCGTCTTCGGCTCTATCTGTGGGTCTCGCCTAGCTGGGGTCTCATCAGGGGTTTTCTTCAGTTCGCCATGAGTGTCGCCTCTTACACTCCTTTTCACTTTCGCTCTATTCATGGTTATTCTCCTTTTCGTTCTGGTAACCCATTCTGTCTCTGGCTGCTCCTTTTCATTGTGTTCACGACAACTGGTTGCAAGCGTAGCTCTTGGCAAGTTTTTTGATTTTGCTTCCCATTCTGGATTCTTTTTCGTTTGGGTTCATTTTATTCTTTTCTTTGTCATTTTTCAGCCAAGTGTTGATTTTTTGTATTCTATATTAAGATGATATTTGTATTCTTGTTCTTTGTTATTCTCTGTTTGTTGTTTAACCTGGTGTTGATTTTTGTAAGAATAACGGGTTGAAATATCATATGGCTTGACAATTGTCGTATGTAAATTATATAATTCATATTGTACAAGTTTTGAATACTATTGAAACAAAGTTGCTGGTCATGGTTCCTTTTTTTTAAAAAAAAAAAAAGTTTAGGGGGTGTTGAGCATCTGATGATATTTTCTTCAGAGTTTATTTCTATTTGATATTTAGAAAAAAAAAATCACATGTTACCAGTTTATGTGAATCTGTTTTTAAAATTCTGAACACCAAAGTCGGAACTGCAACAGATTTTTAAGAACAAGATAATTCACTATGATTACAAGGAAATAACTAATGTTTTCGTTGTCAGATATTTTGGGTAATATCCTTGTGCAAAAATTCATTTAATTTCCAAAGTTAGATTTTGACTTCCATTTTCACTTAATTTCCATTTCGGAAAAAAAAAATACTTGTAAGTTAAAATTGCTTGGTCAGCTCAGAAACAATTGGGTTATTGTACAATCAAAGCAATGAAATCTATTTTTTCCTTTGTTTTTCTTGGTGAAGTCTGTTGCTGAAGTTTGCTGTATAACTGGGTTGTACTTGACATCTCTACGATATTTAAAATACTAGGATAAATTTATTTAATAGATATTCTGCATGGTGGAGATATTGATAATGGTGCTGATGATGAACTATCAACAATGCGGAACATGTGCTGTATGCATTTAGTGTAGATATAGTAGCTTGTGTTAAACTTTGTTGAATGTTAGATGATAAGTACATGTACAAGTATCTTGGTTCCTCATAGAAAAGGAGTTAGGAATTTCTATTCAAGAACATTATTAATTAACTAGTAATATTTTATTGATAAACACTAATAGGCCGTAGCTAAAAAAAGACATTTTAAAAAATGAACTGAAAGTTTTCCTTTATAAAGACAGAGGGAATGATCCATTGTTTGTGTTGTGCCCTAGGTTTATAAGTCATCATTTAATTTGCTTGGGTTGATTGCATAATGAAAAATGCATTGACTTATGTGTTAGATCTATTGAAGGCACGTTGGGTTACGCTTGAGAAAAACCCACCAATTTCGCAAGTTTCTACAAATTTTGTTCTCATTGAAAATTAGAAATGTAGAAACAACTCCAATATAATATATATACTTATCATTTACTTTGAGATATCAAGGAAAACATTTTTGTTGCCTCTCCCTGAGGGTGCATTTTGTGGCCATTTTGTTCTGCATTTTCTAGAGCTCTTCCTAGTTCAAATTCCTGAAATTTTTTCCAATCCTCTTTAACTAACCAAGTTCCTTAACTTTAAGTGGCATTCCTTTTCTTTTTCATGGGCTTTTTCCTTTGCTGGAATGTTTTATTTTATATGCTTTCTAAAATTAAGTTGTTAAAACTTTTGATCATGAAATTTGTTTATTAAATTGTAGCTGCTATTTGGGGCCTTTCTTGCTAGATATAATTGGAATGGTTAGGGGATTGGCTTTGATGTTTACTTCTCCCTGCCGTGAGGCAATGCATCTATAGCTGCTATGGAAATGATCAAGTTGTTGAGTAAGCAGATTATTTATTCATTTATTTGTTTCTCTTATATGGAATAACATGGGCCGTAGTTTCTACATGAATGCAATGGTTATTAACTTGAATAAATGGTCTTCAGAAGGTATGACTATACTATTTTATATTTGTTTTGTAAAGTATTTTATGAGTGGAGTTTTTTCTCCTTTGACACCCTTTTGCTTGATCATGATGTGCAATACGATATTATCTCCCATCTATTGTGGATGACTAAAAGTGAACAGCTCTAGTAATACTTTTCTTAAAAAAACTTCAATGTGCTCAGGCATCAAATTCACAGATACAACTGGTAAACGTCCAAACATACTCCTATCTTTAAAACTTGTTGCTTATTACATTACAAAGTAACTTACTTTCCATGTTGAGATTCAAGACATTCAAATTTTTGAGTAGTAGAAAAGCCTTTTATTTTTTATCTTTAAGTTCTAGAATGCTTTGAAAGTTTTTTGGGTTATGACAGAAGAAGGTAATTCTTCGGATATAGTCAGTGAGAATAATCTATGGAAAAGTAAAGATATTGAGTCATACGAAGAATGTTATGTCCTCGTTAGACAAGAAGATATAGCAGAGGGAATGGGTTGCTTCATATTTACCACCCCCTTGAGCATTTTTAGGAAGCTTTATACTACCTCTAATCCTAATTATAAGAGTCAGTTGACTAATTTGAGGAAATTAAGGAAGTAAGTTGAGTTAGTTATTTGTCCTAAATAAGTATTGTTTTTCCTAAAGTATCATTGCTGATCAAGTGTATTGACTAAAATTATCATCGTTAGAAGGACTATTTTGAAAAACAAATATATAAATATGAGAGACAAAGTGGGTTAGAGTTTTATATTTAGAATCAAAATAAAAATGAAATAAGGTCTTATATTAAAGATCGGAGGTAGTACATGTTATGCTCTACCTCGGATTTAATAGTGATCTGTGTATCCCTAAAACTTTATTTATTATACAGTTCCATGTTCATAATGGATTGAAAATATGGCATATGTGAGTCCCAATGCTTGTTATTGGATCTCTTATTTGGACAAGTCCAACTACGTTTACATCTTTTATCAATTCCAGATTTCAAGGTTATTTTTTAAAATTATTTGTCAGCTTCATTTTTTGAAGGTAACATCTCGTATGAAATAATGTCCTTAGTGG